AATTAATTGCTTTTTTCGCATGTTTTGAATAGTTTGACAAACTTTTGCAAACTTTAGACTCCGTTTGCATTGATTTACGATTGGATTTAATCGCAAAAATTGAGTCAAAACTAAATCAATACAAAAGCCGTATTGAAAGCCAACGAAACGATTGTAATTCACATCAATTGACGCCAATTAATAGTGAATCCCATTTGAATTCAGAGCAAAGTTTGCCACAAATTGTTGACAATTGCCCTCAAGTTTTCAGCGAATCAAACAATGATTTGATTGACAATACTTTGACACAAAATGTGTGCACCGCTGAAGACAATCAATCAATTGAACCGATTGTGTGCCAAACGGATAGTCAAATCGGTGTCGAAGAGAAAAGACAGACCAGGAGTTCCCGAAAAGCGCTCATTTCTGGCGATAATGGAAATTATGAATTACCGAAAACGACAGATAATTGTCCGCAAAACTTAACGGAAGTGTCGGATAAAGTTGTGGCCAAAAGGAAATGGCGGCGAACGCAAGATATCAATGACTTGAAGTGTAAATATTGCGGCAAAATGTGGCGATCGTTGTCTCATTTGGAGATTCATTTGCGGTCTCATACGGGAGAGAAGATATACGAGTGTCCGAAGTGTGGCCAACGGTTCGCCCAATTGGCCGGACTTCAAGTGCATTTGCGGCGACACAACAACGACCGCCGGTTCGGGTGTGAGGTCTGCGGGAAAGCGTTTTACACGCGAATCGACTTAAGCCGACACAAGACGTCTCACAAGCAATTCAAACAAATCACTCAATGCTGCGAAATATGCGGCAAAGGCTTTAACGACAAGCGAAAAGTGCGAAATCATATCAGGTTTGGCTATCAATTGGCTTTCAATTGTAACTAATTTTGTGTTTGATTTGTACGTCAGATACGTTCACGAGAAGAAGGAGTCGGTTGTCTGCGAGATATGCGGTCACAAAACACACGGACAGCACTTACTGTATGCCCACAAACGGGCCAAACACGAGAGAGCGACCGAAAT